AGGATTAAGTTCGAACTTGAATTCACTTATTGACCTGCGCAACATCCCTATATGTCATGTGTGTCCAATAACACGCTCGTCGAGGCCCATGTAGGTGTTTAGGGGCATTTTATGATTATTTGTTGAAACTTATCGACTCCTATTTACCTACTTAGGAGTATCTGATTCAAATTTACTGACCCGCGCAACATCCCTAGACGTCACGTGTGTACCAATAACACGCTCACCGGGATTCATGTAGGTGTTTGGATTGCACTTACCCCTTTTGTGTACCTATGTATATACAAACTACGGTGCACGTGTGTGGGTATTTTTGAATGTTTATCATTGATCATCTGAATGTGATGATCTACTTGGAAGCTTGTATACGCCTTCTGTCCGCTTGCATGAATGTTGCGGATCCGGTGGCGTGCTATAACAGCTTCTAAATTGAGTTGTTTGTTGCATTGTACAGGTAGACTGTCGTGCACTAGTATGATTTATGCAGGTAGATTGTAGTTGACTAACTAATCTCCTGCTTTAAATTTGTAAATGCATTCACACGATGTTTTTGTTCGTGGTCATTGCATTGTGGTCATTGCATTGCATACAAGTCTTCTGGAACTGACTACATGCATTTGAATTTGCTGTAGTTATTCTGCATTTTGCTTGTTAGTGGTACATTGGATGTATAGGAATCTTCTATTGTAGCTCGTAGGAGTCATATGTTTGTCGTAGTGCTTTGATGTTTGCCCATAGATGATATGTAGTGTGTATGACAGCTCTCCTACCACGACTTGTAGGAGCTTGCATCTGATGGAACTCTTCTGCATTTGTCTATGAATGGCATAACAGGTTTCCTACAACAGCTCATATGAACTTACATTTACTTTTGCCATATATCATCACGCTTAAACTTGTAGGTGACTAGTATATTTGCTGACCACCACATGCTCCTTAACTATAAGGATATCGTAACATCCATTGCCTATTGCTGATTAGCATTCGTAGGCACATTGTGTGTATGGTAAATTCTCTATCATTGTTAGCTGATGCTAGCACTTGCCATTTACTACACGATGAGCATTTGCGGGGACTGCTACATCTTTTTACAAGACTGATATTGGTGCTTCCATCATCGATATACGATTTGTAGCACTCGCTAAGATATTCTCATGCATCTATTTGCAAGTGGATCACATATCTGTATTGATTATCCTCGCTCATTGTTTGCATTTCTACAGGCAATAGTACCCTTTAATATTTATTGGAAGCCTTGCATTATTGCTTGCAAGCAATTTCAATAGGTTCGTTGGATGTTGACTTTTAGCATTCGTAGATAACTACTGTATTCATCTACGAGTTAATGGTCATTGATTGGAGAGAAGTCATAATTCTCGTTGTATGTGACATGATGCATACTTTTGAATAACTTCTTAGGTACACTTTGACAAATCAAGTCATTGATAAGCTGCTAGTGGATGAAAGAAGTTTCCTATTAGCTCATTGATGTTGATTAAAGGAAAATTATTGCATTCACAATCTATCCACCATTATTGGTTGCAAGCTAATATGTTCACTTGCGCATCATTCATGCTTGTAAACCAACTATATCTTCACTAAATGTATTTTGCATGTACTCATAAGAATCTTCGTTTGTTGTAGGCTCTTGGACCTCATTTGTAGACCCTTGTTCATTCATGGATATTTAGTTAGATGATCAAAATTATCTACCATTTGTATGAATTAGGATGAATCTACGATCCAACCATCGTCATTTGCATGAAGATTATATTGAAAATCAAATGGCATCATCATTATCATTAAGTGAATGACACTTGCAAAATCCCTTGGCTTACAAATTTTATATGTATCCATTTTCATCTTATTGATGATTGTCATTTATCAATTATGAACTCAATCACTTATATCTATTTATTCAAGTTTGAGTGGGTGTTCAATTCGAGTTCAAATTCAAGTTCTAGTTAAGATTGTATAGTTTGAGTTCAATGTCCACAAATGCATACTTCAAATTTAAGCTCATGTCATTCAAGTTCAATTCGTTGTCCTCCATTGTACAAATTCCTTGTGGTCCAACTCAAGTCTTTTCTTGAGTTCAATATTTATTCAAGCTTGAGTGGGTGTTCAATTCGAGTTCAAATTCAAGTTCTAGTTAAGATTGTATAGTTTGAGTTCAATGTCCACAAATGCATACTTCAAATTTAAGCTCATGTCATTCAAGTTCAATTCGTTGTCCTTCTTTGTACGAGTTCCCTGTGGTCCGACTCAAGTCTTTTCTTGAGTTCAAATGTCCAAGATCATGTTCTTTTTTTCATTTTGCAAGTTCAAGCCATTTGTTATTTGAGTTATGTTCAACTTTAATCTTAAGTCCAAGCCCCATTTTTTGTTCTCAAGTCCTTGTCTTATTTCAGACAAAACTTTGGCAGCCTCCCCGTGTCTCACCCATTTAGGAGAAAAACCAAGAGGCAACCTACCCGCCACGTCAAGAAAGACGTGCACGGTTGGTGTTGTGAGACACCGCAACCGTAGTTTTTTGTCATCCACCATGCCAAGAAAGCCGTGCATGGATTTTTTAAAAGCTTTTTTTTTTTGAAAAAGAAGTTCTTTATTGCCCCGTCATGCTAAGAAAAGCACACAAAGGGATTGCCTGCTTCGTTGTAAGCACCGCACCAAATTCCCTCCCACCACGCTAAGAAAAGCGTGCATGGGTGGTCCCTTGGCGCGCAACGAACACCGAAAATAGGGCTTTTGGAGGGGATTACCTGCCTCGCCAGAAGCACCGCGACGAATTTCCTCCCACCATGCTAAGAAAAGCGCGCATGGGTGGTTGTTCGCCACGTTGCAAGCGCTGAGATGGATTTTTCCAAGTTTGAGGATTTATAGCTTGGCGAACATCGGGGTGGTGTGGAGGCGATGATGAAAATTAAAACACAGAATCTCTCTTCCTTTTTTTTGGATTTCTTTTTCTTTCTTTTTTTGGATTTCTTTTTCTTTCTTTTTTTTTTATCTCTCACAAACACACACACATATAATGGAATTATTATTATTATTATTATTATTGATAATGATAATATTATCATTAATAAAATTATTAGTAATAATATTATTGTTAACAATAATATTAATACTAATAAATAATTAATGTTAATATTAACACCATTAACAATTATAATAATAATAATTATAACAATAACAGTAATAAGTTATAATCATCCATATTAACATAAACAAGTAATAAGTAAAACCCTAATATACCCTATTATATTTTGTGACTGAGGGAGATCGGGTGAGGAGGTCGACTGAAGGCCTTGCTTGCCGCTAGATCTGGTGGAGAGGAAGGAGTGGGACTTAGAAGAAACGATGGGATCTCTTGGTTAGGGCTTCATTTGGGCTTGGAGATCGGACTAAGGGATTCAGCTAGGGATTTGGTCGCAGCAGCTCGCGAAAGGGAGAACATTGCCTTCACAATGAGTGTCTCACGTTATTGCTTCTACTCAAAATGTTGTAGCTTCCGAACCTAGAGGAAGGGAACGTTGGAGGAGCAAAGGTTAGGTCTCTCTCTCTCTCTCTCTCTCTCTCTCTCTCTCTCTCTCTCTCTCTGAAATAGGGAGGCGGAAAGGGTTGGGTATTTGCGGTTGTATGGGTAGAGATGAATGGGGAGGAGGTTTTGGCTAATATCAGCTTGATCTGGGCGTCAGACTCGGGAGATTGGAGTTTGGGTGGAAGGAAAAGGGCTGGCTTGGTGAGGTTTGACCGGCTTAGAGGCAAAGGTCTAGTGGGATTGCGGCTTTGACTTCGGCTTGCGAATGGAAGAGGCTGTGGAGATCGGAGGGTTCACGAAAGCTGAGGAATCTTTGTCGAGTTGTGAGGTTTCGGGGTTCAATCGCATTAAACCGAGAGGAGTTTCACGGGACTTGAGTGTGTGAGCAAGAACTGGAGGCCAAGTCTCCATCTCATTTGGTTTTTAACAAGAAGAGCGAGAGCTGGCAGAGCACGCGTGATACAATGCTTCTTTGGCGCCGCTGCAGATATCAGGTACTGTAGTTGCAACGAGATTTCAGCAGCGATTCGGGTATGGGCAGTGGCAGGTATGTAATCATTTAAGCATTTTTTTTATTTTCATATGCTTCAGAGGTCAACAACCATTTGAAATCTTCCCTACCTCTCTCCTCCCATTAATTCTTCCCCACTATTGCTCCCAATTAAACCCCTTCTTAATTTAGCTCCCTTTAATTTTGGAAGCTATTTAAATTCATGCTCATTTGAATTTGAATTTGAATTTGAATTTTACTTCCTAAATTAGTAAACCTATTTAAGGAAGCCCCCTCAAATCATGCTCATTTGACTTTTAATTAGGATTTAATTCAAAATCTTTCCTCAATTAAAATTCATATGGGCAAGTCTTTAATTCCTCAAATCAATGTCCCCATCGTTTTTCTTGGCCCCCTCCGTTCTACATCAACAATTCATTACACAATTTCACATTAATCACATCCAAATCTTGGTTACAGAGTTCTAATTACTTCCATTTCACTTACCTGTACTGTTGTTTTCCTTTCCTTCACAGCCACAAGAAATTTCCTTCAGCACTATGCCGAAATCTACTGAAAATCTGCACTGTGCCGAACTGCTATAGGAAATCCTGTACTGTGCCGATCTCACAATATTCGGAAACTCTCAGAAATGCTGACTTCAATGCTCCTTCACAGCCACAAATCCCTTCAGCCTTTGTTCTCAGCCGCTGTAAAAATCCTATTATCTGTTAATATTACTATAACAGACATTTAGTACTAAGTTTATATATTTAATATTAATCTATTTAACAGTAACAAACAATTTATTATTCATCCATTTGAATTTCTACAAAGATACAGACATTTAGTAAATCATTTTATCTATTAATTTAAGCATACCTGCTTGGGTCTTACACGGATGTCCTCATTACATGTTCTTTCCAAATATACAAATAAGGATTGTAATCTTCTGTGCTTATTTTTCAGGTAACTTTACTGGTGGCAACAAGTGTTGCTGAAGAAGGACTTGACATTCGACAGTGTAATGTGGTCATAAGATTTGACCTCGCCAAAACTGTTTTGGCATATATCCAATCTAGAGGTCGTGCTAGGAAACCTGGATCCGACTACATATTGATGCTTGAAAGGTACTATTGTTATACTTTGATCTCTGCATTTACTTTTTAATGTGCATAAATATTTGAATGTTGTGGAGATTGCTTTCTGACATTCAGAATGGCTTTTGTCAGGGGAAACTTGTCACATGAGACATTTTTAAAAAATGCTCGCAATAGTGAGGAAACTTTGAGAAAAGAAGCCTTAGAGAGGACAGATATCAGTCATCTTAAGGGTAACCCAAGACTTTCTTCACTAGAAGCTGTGCCTGACTCCATTTACCAGGTTGAATCAACTGGTGCTGTTGTGAGCTTAAATTCTGCTGTTGGGCTTATCTACTTCTATTGCTCTCAGTTGCCAAGTGACAGGTAAGAGTTATTGGCTTACTTCTGGATCAACAGAATCAGGCAGATATATCTTCTCATCTATGTGGTGTAGGTACTCCTTGCTTCGTCCTGAGTTCATTATGGAAAGGCATGAGAGACCTGGTGGCTTAAATGAATATTCATGCAAGCTTCAGCTTCCCTGCAATGCTGCATTTGAGAAGCTAGAGGGCCCTCCATGCACTTCAATGCGCCTTGCACAGCAAGTATGGTTTTGATGCCTTTCAGAGTTTTGGATTTTTGGTACGGGAGAAATCCATTAGATCAGTCTTATAAAAAAACGAATCTTTTCTACACAGGCTGTGTGTTTGGCTGCTTGTAAGAAACTACATGAAATGGGAGCATTCACTGATGCGCTTTTGCCAGACAAGGGAGCTGGAGAGGAAGGTGAGAAAATTGAACAAAATGATGAAGGTGATTCTCTTCCGGGGACTTCACGGCATAGAGAATTTTATCCTGAAGGTGTGGCAGAAATTCTCCAGGTGAGTGACAATATTTGTGATAGTTTAACATATCATTTTGAAAATTAAAACTCATTCTATGTAAAATCTTGGTGAGGATATATTCTGTTTGAGAATTTTTTTGGAACATTATTTAGTTAGATTTATTTTTTTTCATTTTATCTTAGATCAAATGTTGGTGTATCTCAATGTATTTAATACTGTAATGGTGGACAAGTTATTTTTTGCTACACTTATTGTAGTATGGTTGTCACAATATAAATTTAAAATTTTTTTCACTTAATAGTTTGGTCTTTTAACAGTTTTTTGTGACTACATTCCTTCACAAATACCAGATGCCACTACTTGTATTTAGTTTCAACATTTCTTTTTGAGATCACATTGGTCTTACTTCTCCATATAATTAGGTTTTCTCATACATAAGTACAATATACAAAGGCTGATCTTTGATCCAAAGTACTTTTGCCTAAGAGTTATCAGCTCTTGTAAAAATTGTGATTTTCATGTTGGATGAATTTTAATATAGGAAGTCATTTTTTGGTGACATCTTGAGGTGCATTAGAACGCAGTTAATAAATTTCATATGGCCTTCAGTAGGGTTGGTCACACATATTTACAACACCATTAAGGACCCAATATCCGGATGGGAGAGGATTAGAGGAATTAGTTTGCCCATAAGGCGTTGATACCTACCTTTGCCAACTTGTTGGGCCTACTGGAGTTTTTGTTGGCTTACATCCAAGCATTCATCTTTCTTGAAGTAGATAAATAATATATTTTTGGGAAATAACAATACCTTAGTTTGATTGTTCCACCTCTATACTAAGAAAGTATTTTGGATTTTTTTTTAAATTCAAACTCTCTTACTAGAAATCCATCTATCCTGATTAACTCTTCTCTTATTGATACAATATCATCTACATATACGGTCACAATTTACTTGTTTCCTTTAGGTGAATGCTAAAAAAAGTGTGATCAGCTTGACGTCAACTTTTCCCAATTTGGAGAATCTACTAAACCACGCATGAAAAGATTTTCTGAAGCCATAAAGCTTTTTTAATTTGCATACCTTATTGTCGTTTCTATGATTTTCTAAACCAATTGAGATCTCCTTGTATACTTCATTCTTAAGCTTCCTATTAAGAAAATCATTCTTAATATGGAGTTTATATGGAGGCCGGTTCAAATTTTCCATTAGAGTGAATAAAGTTTTAATTGTGTTGAGTTTGGCAATGGGAGAGAGTTTCTGAATAATCAATGCCATATTATTGGGTGTTCCTCTTTGGTACAAGTTAGGGCTCAAATTTATCCACTCATATTCTTTATATTTGATTGTAAAAATTTATATTCATCCAACTGGTATTTTGTGGTGAAAGTTGAGAAACTTATCATGTACTTATCTTTTCCAGTGTCTAGATTTCTTTCATTGCAGTTTTCTTTCAATCGAGGTTTTGAGAGCTTCATGAACATTGTTTATTATTTGTATTTTATCAGGGTAAGTGACAACAACACTTATTCCAAGTGAGACTTTTATAGGTCATGTAATCTTAAGCGTTGGGTGTTTGGTGTATATGACCTCAGTTGGTTGAATATATTGATAAGCTGATGATAGAGTTTGTGGTTTTAGTTGGTTCAATTAGAGGAAATGAAAATCGTTCATTGTTTTTTGGGGTTGATAAGAGAATGATGGATGATCAAATAAATGTCAAGTTTAAAATTCTTATTCTTGAACTTCCTTCCCCTTAATTTTAAGTTTGGAGTAATAGGATTTGTGTTAAGGAGATTATTTATATGGAATTATAAATGTTTCAATAATCTAAGAATAGTATTTATATCCTTTTTGATTTGGGGAGTATTTAACAAATATTTTGATGGATGTAATGTCTAATTTTCTTCGATATTGAGAATGAATGCAAAAGAAGACTGAATATCCAAAGATTTTTGGAGTAGATTATAGTCTTGGAAAATGAATGGAGAAAGGTTTGAACAAGGGTTTGAAATTTAGGTACACCTGAGGGTTCTGTTAATATGTAGCTATTTCGATAGCTTATCTCCAAAAGATATATAGAAACATTTATGGAGGATAATATTGATGTAGCCATTTTTAATAATTGTCTATTTTTGCTTTTCAACAATCCTATTTTGTTGAGGGGTATATCAACACAAAAATTTTGGTGGATATTTCCTTGATACCTATAAGTTTTTAAGATTGATTCTATGTTTTTTTTACTCTTTGTCGATTTTCATGACTTTTATTTTAGACTAAAATTAAGTTTGAATAATGGTGCGGATGGTTAAAAATTCGTTCCACTTCATATTTTTCTTTCTTTAAGAAAATTTAAGTGAGATGATTATGATTGCCATTGAATGAAATAAATTTTCTAGCTTTAGCGACATTTTTGGGATTAGATGGTCCCCTCACATCACATAGACTAAATCAAATAATTGTGAATATTTGTAGCATTTGTTGAGTTGAGAATTATTAGTGTATTAGCTAGATGATGAATTTCACACTAAAATCTCTTTGATTTTTCATTGGTGAATAGAGATGGAATTTATTTTTTAAGGCAATTAAAGTTTGTATATCCAAGATGATAATATCAAAGCTTGACATCATAATCATTATTAGAAGTGTAATTAGAATTTGAAATATATGGGCTCTGAAAGCTTGAGCTTATGCCTTACGAGATCGTTCTTTAGAAGTTACTCTTATAAATCATCCTATCCATTTTCAAGCCTTAAAAGTGATAAAGATTAGGTGAGAAATTAACAGCATATTTTTTTTCTTTGAGTGAATGTGCTGATTTAGAATTAACTGTAATTTAGGATAGACATTATAAGCATAAAAGTTAAGTGTCATATCTTTTAAGAGAATGTTTGAACTTATTTTGACTATTTTTGACGATGATCCATCTACAATTCAGACATTAGAATTTTCATGACACAAGTTGCAATTATAACAAAGCCTTTTGTCTTCTTATATATAATCTAACACTCTCTAGTCTATCATCCAAGCAGTAATTTTCTTCTTATTTGTGATGAGGGCATGTGAGAATTTTGACGAACCAAGCTTATTTAGTGATATTTGAGAATAAGCTTAGACCAGAAGATTAGTTGTTTTCTTATCTAGATTGCTGATACAACAAAGAGAGAGTTGCAGCAATTTATCTTTAAATTTTCTTATCCATTTTTTTTTCTTATAAATATGTCATGTTTGGGATCAAACTTTTTATTTTTGGGTTGATTTCCATTTTCTTTGTAGCATCTACCATCATCTTCTTTCCAGGAGGATTCTCCACTTATGTGATAGGAAATGTTGGTAGATTTCAGAGAGAAAACTCCACTAAACTCCAGGAAAAATCAGAAAATAGTAGATATTTTTGTATTATTGGATGAAACAATAACAACAACATCAAGCCTTTATCCCACTACATGGGGTCGGCTACCAAGATACAATTGATCGTCTATTCGAGAGGAGGATCTATCTCTCCCAATTCTCTAGAGCCCAAGAATGATAAGCACCCAAAACAAAAATCAGCCACCAAAAATATGCCATAACCCTAATACAAACTCTACTTAAAGCAAATAACAAAATAATGCAAAAGGACTAAACAACCTTCTTTAGAATCCTTTGGGAAGTGGACCCCACCCCAAATGGCCCCCCCCCCAAAGGGGGGGGGGGGGGGGGCTTTGAGGCCGGTGGCAGTAGCAGGCTTGCGTCTGCTGTAATAAGTGGGCCGGCCAAAGGGTTGGGCTGGCTGAACCGGTCCCTCCTTAACCAGTCTGTTTATATCAATACCCCGCCCCCAAAGAACCATCTTGTCCTCAAGGTGGATAGATGGGACTTGATGTCTCACCCTCGCATAAGGCTCTCATGTGGCTTCATAGTCTGGTACCTTCTTCCATTTAATTAGAACCTCCTTAATCCCCCTCTCCTCCCTGACGAACCCCCATCAACTCCAGTGATTCTAATATCACCTCCAAGTCTTCTGTTAGTGTATCAGTAGCTGCCTGATCCCCGATTGCTCTCCTCAGTTATGATACATGGAATATTGGATGTATAGTCGCCGTTGGAGGTAGTCTCAAATTGATAGGCTATCGCTCCAATTTTCTCCAAAAGTTGATATGGGCCAAAGTATCTTTGGATAAGCTTCTCATTCCTCATGTTGGTGACCTTCCTCTGCCTGTAGGGCCGTAGTTTTAAGAACACCCTCTCCCCTACAATGAACTGGATGTCCTTCCTATGCCAATCTGCTTGCTTCTTCATGATTTATTGTGTCCTCAACAAGTGCTTTTTAAAAGCAAATATTTCAGACCTTTTCTTTCTTTTTTTATTTAACTTGGCAGGTTTCAGTAAGTAATTATGAGCAGACATTTTGAAGATTGGAAGATTATCCTAATTTGATTAGAGGGTGGTTCTGATATAGTTATCTCCATCGTGATGCGGAACTCTAGTGTTTGAAGTAGAGAAATAAACTACAACATAAACTTGCAAACCAATATGGGTTGTAGCATCATGTACCTACATTTATTTATTCTTGTTACATCATGTAAACTTTAAACACAAAATATCTTTACTCCATTTCCCAGAATAATCTGATAAAACACTTGGGCTGAAAAAGAATGGAGTCTTCAAAATAGAGGTTTTTTGGAAGATGAGAGCTTAAACTTGGCATTGTGTTAAATTGCATTTTCCTTCAATGTGGATAAACATGCAGCATTGTTCTGTCTATTATTATATCATTGATGTTTTTTCTTTGACCTATAGGGGGAATGGATTTTAAATGGAAGAGAAGGTTGCCAGGATTTAGCTGAATATCAGCTGTACATGTATGCTGTAAAATCTATCAATGTTGGAAATTCTAAGGACCCATTCCTCTCACAGGTTTCTGATTTCGCGATACTTTTTGGCAAAGAGCTGGATGCAGAGGTTTGCTTAGTTGGGATGTGGATTGTTCATCTTCACAACGATAATCCTCAATATCTATAATAATCTTTGTTTTGGCAGGTCTTATCGATGTCAATGGATCTTTTTGTTGCTCGAACTATGATAGCAAATGCATCTCTTGTTTATAGAGGACCTGTTACTATTACAGGAACTGAGGTTGATGTCTTTATTCTAGTCTTTAATGATAAATCATATTAAGGCTTAGCCTGAAGCTATATAATCTTTCTTACATTAACCTATTATGATTTCGCAGTTGGCTACATTGAAGAGTTTCCATGTTAGACTTATGAGTATTGTTCTTGATGTGGATGTTGATCCCTCAACCACTCCTTGGGATACCTCTAAAGCCTATCTTTTTGTCCCAGTCATTGCCGCAAAACATTTTGATGCATCAAAAGAAGTTGATTGGGCTCAGATTGAACGTATAGTCTCTTCTCATGCTTGGCTTAATCCACTACAGAGGGCGCGCCCAGATGTCTACCTTGGTACTAATGAGAGAACTCTTGGAGGAGACCGTAGGGAGTATGGATATGGAAAGCTACGTCATGGTATGGCGTTTGGACAAAAACTTCACCCTACATATGGTATCAGGGGCGCTGTGGCACAATTTGATATTGTAAAGGCAGCTGGGTTGATTCCTCGCCGGCCATCTGTAGAGTTCCTTGATGATAGATATCGGTTCGGCAAATTATATATGGCTGATTGTTGTATTGATGCAGAGGATCTTTTGGGTAAGATTGTCACTGCTGCACACTCCGGGAAAAGGTTCTTTGTGGATTCTATACGCCCTGATATGAATGCAGAGAATTCATTTCCCCGGAAGGAAGGCTATTTAGGGCCTTTGGAATATAGTTCATATGCTGACTATTACAGGCAAAAGTAAGACTTCTAAATCTTCTTCCCATCTTTATCATGCAGTGGAACTTCTTTGCCATGTTCATTCTACATTTTTAATTCATGCTTTCCTATGTCCTGCACATATACTCTAATTTTTGCTCATGGGAGAACTGAAATATTCCCTTCTCTAACATCAAGTAGTTGTCTACTGCCTGTTTGAGTTCCTTGGTTTCCTTCTATAAAGGCACCGACATTTCTAGTTAATAAGTGCAATGAAAGAAAAAAGGTTTGATAAATCTTGCAATACCAAATTGGCTTTTCTTCTGGTTAAGGTAAATTATCTGCCATTTCAGGTATGGGGTGGATTTGATGTACAAAAAACAACCTCTGATACGAGCACGCGGTGTGTCATATTGCAAGAATCTCCTTTCCCCAAGGTTTGAACATACGGAAGGTATGTGACATTTGGATTGAAATTTCTGATCCACAACACACCCGAGCTTCAGTTGATCTGAACTGTTTTTGGTTCAATTTTTTCATGCTGTAGCACCAGAGGGAGAATCTGAAGAAAATCTTGACAAAACATACTATGTTTTCTTACCTCCTGAACTATGCCTCATCCACCCGCTTCCTGGAAGTCTTGTGCGAGGAGCCCAAAGATTACCCTCAATCATGAAAAGGGTGGAGAGTATGCTTCTTGCTATTCAGCTCAAGGAAAAGATCAATTATCCTGTTCCATCTGCCAAGGTTTTGTATCCAATTCTCACGCTATTTCTCTGCATAATTTCCTGCTTTATGGTCAATTGGCTTTACATGCTAAGTCGTGCAGATATTGGAGGCTTTAACAGCTGCTTCATGTCAGGAGACAGTCTGCTATGAAAGGGCTGAGTTGCTAGGTGATGCTTATTTGAAATGGGTGGTTAGCAGATTTCTTTTTCTCAAATATCCACAGAAACATGAGGGTCAGCTTACGAGGATGAGGCAGCAGATGGTGAGCAACATGGTCCTGTATCACTATGCTTTGAATAAAGGTCTCCAATCATATATCCAGGCCGATCGTTTTTCTCCGTCCCGATGGGCTGCTCCTGGTGTGCTTCCTGTCTTTGATGAAGAAACAAAAGAATCTGACTCATCTATGTTTGGTGAAGAATCTCATGGTTGCGACTCTGAGTCAAAAAATGATTTATATGATGATGATTCTATAGAAAATGGCAGGGAAGATGGGGAGATCGATGGCGACTCCAGTTGCTACAGAGTACTTTCTAGCAAAACACTTGCTGACGTTGTGGAAGCCTTAATTGGAGTTTACTATGTTGACGGTGGAAAGAATGCTGTTAACCATCTGATGCGCTGGATTGGAATTCAAGTGGAATTTAACCTTCAGGAGCTACAGTTTGTAAACCCAAATGCAATTCCTGAAAGTATATTGAGGGTTGTTGACTTTGATACACTTGAAGGCATTTTGAATGTAAAGTTTAAAAATAAAGGTCTCTTGGTTGAAGCCATTACACATGCCTCAAGGCCATCAGCTGGTGTTTCGTGTTACCAGAGGCTAGAATTTGTTGGTGATGCTGTGTTGGATCACCTTATAACACGGCATCTTTTCTTCACCTACACTGATTTGCCTCCCGGACGACTTACGGACCTGCGTGCTGCTGCGGTTAATAATGAGAACTTTGCCCGTGTTGCTGTTAAGCACAAGCTCCACCTCCACCTTCGCCATGGTTCAAGTGCTCTAGAGGCTCAGGTCTGTCCAGCCATATCCTTTTCTCTTGTAAACTGATCATATTCCATTTCTTATGATGACTGCAATCATCTAACGAGCTTAAGCATTATTCTCTATTCATTACAGATTCGAGACTTTGTGAAGGATGTTCAAGAAGAACTGTCAAAGCCTGGATTCAATTCCTTTGGTCTGGGAGATTGCAAAGCTCCCAAAGTTCTTGGTGACATTGTTGAATCCATAGCTGGTGCAACTTTTCTAGACAATGATCTTGATACTTCAGTTGTTTGGAAGGTCAGCGCTCTTATGTTCTACCTATCGTTATATCCTCTTGTTGTTATGTTATCATTAACTGATTTAATTTTCTTTCCTTTCTCAAGGTTTTCCAGCCTTTGCTGCAACCTATGGTGACCCCAGAAACACTTCCTATGCATCCAGTTAGAGAACTCCAAGAGCGCTGCCAGCAACAGGCAGAAGGACTGGAATACAAAGCTTCTCGCATGGGTAATCTGGCCACAGTAGAAGTTTTCATTGATGGAGTCCAGATCGGAGCAGCTCAGAACCCTCAGAAAAAAATGGCGCAGAAGTTGGCAGCAAGAAACGTACTAGCCATACTGAAGGAGAAGGAAGAAAAGGAGAAGAAAGAGAAAGACAAGGAGAATGAATTAAGAAAAGATGGCCATAATGGAGAAAAGAAGAGTAATAACGGTCAAGTATTTACCAGGCAGGCTCTTAATGATATATGCTTGCGGAGGCAGTGGCCAATGCCACATTATCGCTGTGTAAATGAAGGTGGCCCTGCGCATGCCAAGAGATTTGTCTACGCAGTTCGTGTTAACACCACAGATCGTGGGTGGACTGATGAATGCATAGGGGAGCCAATGCCCAGCGTTAAGAAGGCGAAGGACTCTGCAGCAGTTCTTCTTCTCGAGCTTCTGAAGAAAGTTTATCCTGAAAATTAGAAGCTTAATTGGTGTTTCATTTTAACTGAAAGTTTCTGGCTATTTGCTTATCTAAAAGCTTTTAATTGGCTGTGAGGAATCTTCCATTGTCATGGGAGCTTTTCTAGCTGAGAAAACGTAATGGAAATTTTTTGCGTTGATGTATCAATATTATGAGATGACTTAAATGTAATTGGCCTGTGAAAGATCTGCTTTTTGGCTTATGTTTGCCTTTATTTTGGATGGAAAATGCTCATCACTGAGACTGAGGTCTCATTTGGTTGGATTGTTGACCCGTTTTAGCAATTTTATTATGAAAAATGAAATTATTCATATCTGAAATTTAAGTAGATAGTATTTGGGGCGAAGTTTTATCATAAAATAACTTAGCTTGAACTAGACAAAAGACATCCATGCTGTAAAGTCCACATATTTGTTAGTAAAAATAATATGTTGCCTTCTCATATAATTGAGTACTATGCTAAAACCTTGAAATTGCACATAAAAAATATGTTAGCTTATTGATACGATGTATATATTATTTTACATGAAGTAGTTGTTTTATTAGTATATTATTTCACCAACGTACGAATGTGGGCCTTCTTTGAATTTTTATTATCTGACAACGAAAGTTTCAATGGAAAAGCAGACGACAGAAAGCTTTCTAAACTGTCCTCGAAATGAGCAATTATTACATCCGATTAAGTTCGAACGTATCCGAATGTATACCGAGCAATATCGAGTGTTCAATATCGAGTTTTAGGTGACGTGGCGCATGATTATTGGTTTATGAATACATTAGGTGACCGGACGTAATAATTGCTCCCTCTAAATGGAGTTGCCTGGAAATGAATTTCATGTAAGCATTACAACCAAACACTAATAAGAAGTTACTCTTCGCGTTTTGAAATAGGAAATACTGTATTTATGCCTAATTGTCAATTTTCTTAAGATAAAATATAAAATTGTGTTTAGAGGACAACATGTGATGGAATGATAAATACTACTTAATGAACTCATCGCGTCATTTTTTTTTTCATTTATTTAGGAAATTATGAAAGGATGTCTTTCACATTGTCCAACAATAAAAGAGAGTCTTTGTTTTCACACTTTAGCGGATAAAATCACGAAAATAATCATATGTATTATTCTTTTGGAGAAAATTGAGATCACAGGATCAAATATGTTGTGCTTGGCAAAATTTGAAGCCTTCAAAGGAAGAAAAAAAAAAGAAGACACAGAAACTCTAGAAGATAAAATTAGAGCAATATAATATAATAACATATAAATGTGCTGTAAGAGATCCGGTTCAAAAAAAAGAACCTCAAAGGCAATCATAATATGAGTTAGGCTTTGTTTGGGATGACTTTTTTACTGCATTATAAAGTTGTTATGAAAAAATAACTTTTTAAAATTATTATAGAAAGTAATTTTCTAGTGTGAATTTTTTTTGAAAGCAACAAAAAATTAATGGCCAAATAAAAATTGTGTTTACGATATGAAAAGCAAACATTACAGGAAAATCCGTCATTACCGACAGCTTTTTCTGGCAGAACTGGGCGAATTTTTGGCGGTAATGAGATTTTCCGGCGATTTTTTTTTCGCCGGTATAAATCGTGTAGGAAACTAAAACTGGCGGTTTATTTCCGACGAAAAATATTTTCGGCATGGCTGCTGTTTATTTAAGTATAAAAATAAAATTTTTGTACTGATAAACTGTTTTAAGAAACAATAAAAAAATCGCGCCCAAACAAAAATACAAAAAATAATATACTGGCAGTACTACTAAACTATTGAGTCTCTTCCCAATAAAATGGAAGAGTTGCTGAAATTGAGGCCTAACAAAATTAAGAAAAAACAGTAAACAGGGAAATATTGCTTTATTTGAAAAGTTTTAAATGATTAGTTCATGGTTTAATGAACATTACAGTTCAATTAATAAGTTCAAGTTTGATATGCCCTTATAATTAGTTTGTATGAAAAAAAAAAAAATGTCCTAAACTGCAATACAATTTTGTCTATTTATGGGGCTTCAATATATTTAATTAGTTTGCAAGAAAATTACATTTCCTCAATACTATTTTGCAAAAATTTCAAAAATATCTTTTAAATTTCCCGTAATTAAATTAAAAATGTTATTTCAGTAATTTACATACATACATTCTTGCCAAAATTCAATTATTGTTGTCCTGATCAAAATCTTTTCAGAATAAATATAAAAATTATATCAAACTATTGCGGAGACTATGAATATAAAATTATTTTAATAAAAAATATATTATTAGTAGTCAATGAACCAATTGTTAAAAATAGTGCATGCATGACAGCAAGTCATCTCTTCCACATTTGAAATAATTCAAACAAGCTGTTATGGTTCCAATAGGTTTGATTCGCTCCTAGAGAAAATTTCATATACATTCATTCTAAGTGCATCAATGTTCTCACAAAGTTGGAGCTATCTTTGTCCATGATCTCGAACTGTTGGTTCTATTGTTGAATTTGTTCGGATGATTTTGAACTAGATTCAAGCAAGATTTTGACGTAATTTAATTTTAAAATTAAAACCACAGTAAAATTTCTTAAAATAGAAAATTTTTGGTTGAATAGAAAAATAATACAAATGAATACAAAACAGTATGATTGAATAGAAAATAAAAATTTTAGCATCAAAAGCGGTTCATTCGAAGGCCCATAAGTTTTCCTTCCGGATATTTTCTTCTTCTTCGGGCGTGAAATCATTTTCAATTTTAAATATTGACGGATTTCCTCTGGCTCTTTTCCATCGGATTATATTTGCAACTTTCTGGCAAATACAAATCTACCCAAGTCTTTCACTCCCAAATAATTTGATGCCTATGATAGCATTAAACAAAGAACAAAAATATATGATAAGGGAACAAAGGACATAACAAAAAAGAAAATACTTGAATCTGTATAATTATTTACCATGATGAGATCATAGAGGGCATCGGTATCAATGTCAACGAATTTGTTATCAAAGTCCTTAAGCTCTTCGAATTCAGGCAAGGAAGGTCCATGTGCTTCTTGCCAGTAATCAAAGATATTAGAGAGGACGGAGGCGGTGACATTGGGTATTGGAATGATATCTTCTGTGCAATTGTCTTCAATCATGAGACGGATAATCTCAGACTGCATCGGCTACCGCCTCTTCCACCACCACCTCCTTCTCCATCAGAAGCCATCATTCTTATCATCTTCTTCATCTCGTTAGCCTTCCTCGTTCTACCATGCCAAAGTCGTTGCTTCAAGTTTTAAATGTCGGTAAAAAAATTGAGGACCCATTCTTATTTATAGCAAGGTTATAATTGATTAAGATTTAAAATTTAGAAAAAAAAAATATTTTTTTTATTTATCATATATTTTTGGCACCTCTCATTGAACGTCTAGGGAATAAAACTCCAAACATTGCGCAAGCATTGACTAAATTTAGCTTTAAAAAAATGAGGCCTTGATTTAAACATGCAAAATCATAATTTTTTTTGCTATTTTAAGCTAAAACTAAAACTAGCTACATGTTTGTTGCACCAATCACACACGGCCACATGGAGGTGCAATGTCAAAGATGTATTTTTTATAATAATACTATGGATTATATTACTATATTTGGGAAAAATGAATATTAGAAAAGGGGGTTC